AGAGTTTCCCATAAGAGAGTGACCACAAGAGTGTCCTACAAGAGTGTGCGACAAGAGTGTCCCGTAAGAGTGTCCCACAAGTGTCCTACAAGAGTGTCCCACAAGGGTGTCCTACAAGAGTGTCCCGTATGAGTGTCCCACAAGAGTGTCCCATAAGAGTGTCCCGTAAGAGTGCCCCACAAGAGTGTCCTGCTAGAGTGTCCCACAAGAGTGTCCCACAAGAGTGTCCCAGAAGACTGTCCCACAAGAGTGTCCCACAAGAGTGTCCCACAAGAGTGTCCTACAAGAGTGTCATTTGTAGCTTTTCGATCGTGTCTGCATTCGGGTTCGTGGGCTCCATCTTGTTTAATATACAGTTATGCGAGTTATGTGGAGCAAATGCCAATCCAGGCCAGGCAGGATGCACCACAATCAAGACACGCAGCCAGGAGCCGATGTCTCCTCCAGGTCTACCTGCCCACACCCAAGACATTGAGTGTGGAAAAAACCTTACAACATCGCATGTTTACACAGTCCAGCAGTTTTATGTTCCAGGACAACCGTTTCTTGGAGACATGGACCATCATGATGGACCTGCTAATCAGATTGTGAAGTGCAGTTGGCCCTTCGAGGCCCTTTAACAAGATCTATGTACATTGACGTTACACATGGTATGTATATATATAGCACATTTTTTTGTTGTGAATGACGGTTTTTTTCTCTTGCATCACAAGCGGTGCTGAATGCTGGATGATGTTCAGCTTGGAAGACTCAGGAGTTGAGCCAGCTCCAAAAGCAGGGAACATCAGATTTCAAGGCATTTGTGTTTGTTGACCTCACTCACTCTATCATAGACCTTTATTGTTATGTTTTATTTGATCCCTTGCAATTCCAGCGTGTTTGTCAATTCCGGGCATGTTTGGCCTTTAGGACCACTCAGTTTAACTGTTGATGCGGTGGGACTTTGATGAGCACGGATGTGAGAAACGGTGCTGTGCAAGGTGCCGAGTGGACCTGCTGGCTTTCCAACAGTTGAAGATCTTAGCAGGATGGGAAACATGCAAACATACTGTACCATTATTTTCTGTGCATGACATGGCGATACATTGCTTCTATTTCTGCGTTGCCATGTTGTGTCAGCCAGGATGCAAAAAGAGGCTTGTGCGGTGGAAAGGGTTGAGGTTTCTGCCCTCTAGAGGTTTGATAGATTATCCTTTGCAGTTTCGGAATCTCTTCGCGAAAGAGAAGACAGCTAAGCTCTGGTTGCTTCAACAAGTAAAGAGCTGGCGAGACCAGTTTGTTTTTTGGGAAGGCAGTTGCAAGACGCCAAATGTCCTTCCCCTTTGACCCATGGGCTAAAGTAGTGTGAAAGCATAAATTCTGCGATTATGTCGTTCATCGCATCATCTCATTGTATGACCTTAGCTAATCCTCCATAACCAATCTTGTCCTTTCTTTTTCGATGTCGCTTCTCTTAGCACAGGGTAGCACATTTGATTGCCTTTTTGTATGGGGCTCTTGAGAAGTCAGTTGTGTGGTACTGTATCATAGGATCCCTGACCAGGAGATTTGGTTTGCTAGGCAAACTCATTGTTTCAGTATTCGGGACACTCCAATCCAGTGATTTGTTTTGTGTACGTATTATATGCCGATTTTCTCATGTTCCTCCCGCAGCGTCGTTTCAAGAATCAACATGAGCTTGAAAGCTCTTGGGTTTTTTTGTGGAGGCAGACCGCCAGAAACTAGACGCTTCTAGGGGATCCTATCCGCTGGTTCCTCAGCCATGCTTGTTGTATTTTCTTGCACATGTTGTTTGTGTTTAGTGCAAACTGGAACAGAACATGTTGGAAACCGCTTATATACATGTTCATTGCGTTGGATTTAGAGTTGGTTGCTGACATGCACACACCTAGGGCACCACATGCAACAAGGGAGGTGTTCACACGTCCGGAGGCAGGGCAAAATGAGCAGCAAGGTGCCCCATCGAGTTTGAAGAACCATACCAATCCAGAATCACCAGAATGAAAATTAGTCCGCAAGCACAGCAAGCTGCTCTGGTCGTCTTATTGGACAGAAATCAACAACAGGCTTATGCAGGTCCAGAGGCAGTGGCGTTGTTTCACCTCAGCTTTCAGCTTTGGCTGCTTCAGTCTCTCAGCATACTTGTGCCCTGTGCGTTACTTGCGTTTTAACGACTATTGCAGGTTGACAAAGTCAGTGCAAGTGATGTCAAGGCTTGGGCTCACTACAAAATCAACTAAGTCACTACACTACACTCTCTTAGATGCCAATCCCTTCTCCTTGTATCTCCTTGTGAACTAGTCAATTTGGAGAAACTCGTATATAGACCTCTTTTACCTTCTTTTCAACTTGCACACAGTGCCTGATATCAAGTTTTGTCAAATTCAAGAACCAGAGTTTTGCAAACTTGGTCGCCATTGTTGTCAGAGGCCTGTTTGCAGAAGCCTTGTGTTGGGAGTGTGCTTGAGTATTGCCGTAAAGCTTGCCAGCAAAAGTTATGCCATCTTGAGCAACGATTCCTTGAGCAAACAACCGGTCGCGTCAAAGCGAAGATGACTTGTCAGGCCGACAAAGCCGGTGTGACAGTGGATGCCAAGGCTTGGATTCAACATGTTTCAACTCCATGTTGACTTTCACATACTTTCACGCATTCCTGGCACCAAGAAGCACAAACCAGTTGCACTCATGATCCGTACAGAGGAGTCTACCACCAAGAGTGTGTCACGAGAGACGCCCTTCGTTCCCGTGGGGATCTTAGACCTATGCCGCATGCCGCATGCCTCATTCTTTGGGATGGGGGTCAGCAGTGACAGCAGAGCCTGCGAGGCTGGAATGCCTGGTATCCCAACTTCTGGCAGCGCCGGCACAGCCTCCAAGGCAAGGGCAGTGGCAAGGGCAAAGTATTTATTCCAGATATCAACCCATCACATCAGAATAATTACATTGCACACCTGACTGTGCTTGCAATTCTACATGCAGAAGGGTGAATTTTGAAGGCTGATGACTCATGACATATCGAGTACGTCGGAGCGTCTTGAGTGGATTTGGCTGTTGCTCAAACATGAACGTGTGACAGGCCCAGACGTCTTTGCACCAGAAGCGTGCGCAGCAGGAAGCTTTCTTGCATCAACAAGAGGCGCAATTGCAACGAGAGGAGGCGCAGAGGCAGCAGCAGCAAGAGGCTCAAAGACAACGTGAGGAAGCTGAGAGGCAAAAGCAGGACTGGCACAAGCATGGACAACAAAGAGCAGATAATTGATCTTTTTGTTTTTAAAGGGGGTAGGCCGAGGTAGCTAGTAGGAACTGAGGTAGCTAGTTAGTAGCTACAAGTAAGCTGCTCCATATGGACGCAGGATAGCTCCCGCTTCTTCAAGGAAGCTCCCCCCTTGAAGAAGAGCTCGCGCTAATGATTTGGTTCCTAGATTTTTAGGGAACTTAAAATGTGTTGGGGATTGCTGCTTTTGCCAGGAGGAGTGGCAGAACCGGAAACAATCCAAGCAGCAGCAGCAGCAACAGCAGTCTGCATCCAAGGCGCCGGAGCAACCGCAGACAGAGTGGGTCCGATACAAGACTACCGACGGGCAAGTCTACTACCACAACGAGAAAACAAACCACACGGTACTGCTGGCTTGCTTATTTGCGACATGCCGATGCTTGAAGAAGCTGAGTGAACCTGAGAAACAGATTGATGATGGTTGCAGAATTTAATACTCCTCAGAAGGCAGGGCCTCACGTGTCATATTCCTCAAACAGCCACGCGGCATGCTTGTCCCCGCCAACCACGGACAAATGCCATATCAGAGATTCATTTGACCCTTTGAGAATGCCTGGAGGAGGAAATCAGGATTGAACATTGCAAACAACATCATCATTTAAGTGAAGAAATTGTTGAGTTGGAACATAAAGCAAATCAATGCAAGTAAGACATCAATTACTCGGGCGCTGGCTTGGCGGAGTTTCTGATGATATTGTGGAAAGCGTACAAAGATGGACAAACAACTCTGTTGACCGCCTTTTGCATCCTTTTGCCTGGTGTGACTGCGATGAAGACAATGCGAAAGTGCCTTTACTGGGGGACCGCGTCCGCGTGAGTGTTTCTTGCTTTGAAAAATGCGGTTGCGTTGCCAGTCTTGGTCCCTACCTCCTGGAGTTACAGCTCGCGAACCAACCGCTGCGGCTTGGACCTCAAAAAGGTAACATCCCTTTGCTAGCACATGCAAGCATATTCAGACGTGAAGCGATGAAGACTTGCCGTCATCTTCAGTTGAACTGTGTGGATCTAAACTAGCTCTTTTCTGAAGCTATGACTTGGGAGACATTTGGTGACACTGCAATGCAACATTAATCAAGTTCATAGTGGGCACACGGTCAATTTTCAAGGTGGCCGTGTAACCCTCCCATGCCGATGAAGGTGTGTAAAGGTCATGGCATTTGCTCGTGTTTGCTCGCAATCAGGGGTACCGGGTACTTGGCTTTCAATCTAAGCCAACTACTCCCAAGCGGGCTTCTGTGGAATTCTACAAGTGTTGCACTTGTTTGCACAAGCACATGAAAGGCCAAACAGGGCACACAGATGCACAAAGTCTAAACAGATTCTGTGATGCGCTGTTTTTTTACTCAATGAGCATCGATGATCCCTCACTCTTAACGTCCGTGCCCAACTTGTGCACAGCACCCCTGAGGCGACCGGACAACAAGGCGGAACAGGGGAACACGGGGAACACATCAAGCTTTAAACGAGTCACGACAAAGAAAAGGGGACCAAGAGCCAATCTCAGATGACCTGTAGTCATGTACTCATATGTGCGTTTTATTCTCGGACTCTCCGATCTTACAGTATGGTTAGTTTGGCATCCATTGCATTCATGACACAAGCCTGTGCTCCAGTGCATGCTCCACTTTTGTTCTAGGTTGTCATCTAGAAACAGGGAGAGTGTTGAGCACTTCGCAACTGCTGATACATGCTGTCAATGGCGCTGATGTGTCACGAGGCACTTCGCAGTCTCAGGAGAGATTCAACAGCTTTCTCCTTGCTTGTCAAAGACCAACAAAGACATGACCAACTTGACCTTGGACACTCAGAGATGCAATCGTTTTCGAAACCATTTTGGAGGAAGAGCCCTTCGCTGACTTGCGAAGGCAGGAGGAGGTCTGGCTTGACTATATATTTCTTGTGTGCGTATATTATATGCGTATTGAATTAGCAACATGATTGCATGGTTAATGAATGTTTATAGTGTGTGCGTGTAGTGAGGTTCATTGTTGATTTGCAGGAGAATAAGAAGCAACGAGAGCAGTGGCAACAGTGATCGTCCCAGCGGGCCAGAAGAACTGGAATGCGTGGGCAGAGGTATAATATGGGTGGGTGGTGGGGAGGGCGCCTGCACATGTCAGGAGGTGCGAATCACCAGAGCGGCAAGCGCTCGTGTTGACACAATTTCATACATCGTACTACTCGTAATGTGACGTGAGTTTCTTTTGAATCAACACCACCATGTCGACGGGTGCAGCAATCTAGGCAAACTGCTTGGGGCTCTTGGCAATCCAAGCTTAAGGTGGTATCAGCAATACACAGCTTGGTATTCTCAGCAGGCACGATTGGAAAGGCAAGCGTTAGTCAGTCAACATGCGTCAGCATATTCTGATGCCCGTCAGGCTGGTGCTGGTGCTAAGGGTGACAAGCATTGCTCTCAGTTCGAGTCCATTGGTCGCGTTGCAGTTCGCAATTCTTAGGAATGTTCAGCCACCTTTCCTTGTTGTTGTTGTTGTTGTTGGTAGAGACAAAAACAGCAGCCCAACATAGTTGTCACAAGTTGCAAGTCAGGGATTTCAATGGGATTCTGTTAGGGATAGGGTCGAAGGTTTGGAGAGATGTTAGTAGCTGGACTTCTTGTCGTTGTGGTACTCAAGTCTTGGTTGGTCTGCTTCTTGTTTTTTGTTGTGTTGTTTTGGGGGAGGGGGGGGTCAAAAAACAACAACGGGGTCGCAGATTTTGTTTCTAGGGGGGGGTAGAGACAACAACATCTTTTGGAAGGGGGGGGTCCAAAAAACAACCACGGGGTCGCAGTTTTTGTTTCTAGGATGTGGTAGAGGTTCTAAGTAGAAGTTTTGCAGGGTTTGCTTAACCAGTTACAATAAGCATCACCAGTAGCATGACCCTCAGACGAGTTTCATAGACCCTAAGAAGGCGTTTAAATCGACCATATTGTTCCATTGGAATCCAACAACTTCCAGGAGTCTCCAAGAAAAGACGGATTTTCAGTGCGTAGATTGAGAACCGGGTTTCCATCCCCTCCGCCTCCGCACACGCCCCGTGCACTGTCCACATCGACTACACTGCCATAGTAGTAGTAGTAGTAGTAGTAGTAGTAGTAGTAGTAGTAGTAGTAAAGTGCTTGTTGTCTGGTTGTTTTGGGGGGGGGGTCAAAAAACAACGACGGGGTCCCAGAATTTGTTTCTACCCCCTTGTAGAGAAAAAGAAAGAAGATGTGGTGTAACGGGGTTGCAGTTTTTGTTTGTACCTTGTTGTTGTTGTTGTTGTTGTTGTTGTTCTTGTTCTTGTGCTTGTGCTTGTGCTTGTGTTGAGGAGGGGAGGAGGAGGAGGAGGACGAGGACGAGGACGAGGAGAGGAGGACGAGGAGAGGAGAACGAGGAGAGGAGGACGAGGAGAGGAGGACGAGGACGAGGAGAGGAGGACGAGGACGACGAGAGGAGGACGAGGACGAGGAGAGGAAGACGAGGAGAGGAGGACGAGGAGAGGAGGACGAGGAGAGGAGGATGAGGAGAGGAGGACGAGGAGGACGAGGAGGAGGAGGATGAGGAGGAGGAGGAGGTGGCGGTGGTTGTCGTGGTCCTGCTGGTGATGGTGGTGGTGGTGGTGGTGGTGGTGGTGGCCATCATCATCATCATCATCGTCATCATTGCGACATTCAAAGGCCAGCTGGACAGCAGCAGCAACAACAACAGGAGCAGCAGGCGAAGACTTGCGAGTGCTTCTTGGGGACACTAGAGAAACCAATCACCAAATGCAACCTGCCGTCGAGTAGAGTGTCCTTTGCCTCCAGGGCAGCCAAAGCACCTACATCCCACCAAAAGGACCTGCCCGGCTGCCCAGTTTTTCCGTTTCTTCCCGAGAGTTGAGTAGAGATAGTAGAGTTTGCAATCTTTGTTCAAGGCTCCTCCCAAGCTGGATGCTGCCTTCGAAGATCATGCGCTGTATCAGATCAAAAGTTCTGTGCTCAAGGACACCTAGATGATGCTACAGTAGATAGATGTGATTGTTCCTAAAGTTGACCAACTTGATCCAATTTGCAGGAGATGGAATCAATGGTCAATGAGGCGGAAATAACTCAACGAGATGGACACATGTAGCAGTCTTCAACTTTACCTATACCAAAAGAAGCGTTCCTTCCATACTTCCAGGGATTGGAGGTGGCAAAGCGGAAGAAAGCTCTCAGGTCCCACTGGCTGAGAAGTTGTGAGGTTAGGAGGTCTCAGGATCGGCAAAGCAAGACTTGCAAAGATGCGATTTGTTTCCACATTACATCCAAGAACGATGGACCTGACAGGTTTCTGCAACTAAAATGGCATCCTGACAAAAATCCGGACAAGCTGGAGGCTCGCATGTGAATCTTGTGAATCTGAAGAGGAACTGCACATCGCACCATAACTTCAAAAAATTAGCTGCCAGATTGCGAAGAGCATTTTCCAGTTCATCGAAGACACAAAGCCATGGTTCTTGCATGACCCCAACGCGGAGGTGAAAGAACTTGGGTTGAACAGTTTCCTGCATTTGCCAAGTCATTTGCCCATGTCTGCCCGAACCCGACAGGGCTGAAATATGCTGAAATATTGTTAACTTTGAGCTGCAGGACGGACATGTTTCACAGATCCATGGTTCTCGCATGCTGTTTAAAGATATTTAAACTATGAAAAGCTGCAGAATACCCAAAGCCAGGAGCTTGAGAAGTTTGACAATAAGCGATGCAAGCAGTAAACAACTTGATGAAGTGATTGCGTCACAGTGGGAAAGCACAAAGTTTGCTACTTCCACGGTAGGGTTTGTGAAGCAATGCAATCTCACTTAAAGTGAGCAGTTGCAAAATCCGTCCGCGCTTGTGTTATGCTGGCATTGTGTTAGTTTTCTTGACGCTGTCTCTTGCAGCGGGTGTGTCGATTGCACGCTTGGCATGCAATCTGCATGGCACAGGTGTTTCGCGTTGCGCGTTGACTTTTCATGGTCATCAATCTCCAGAACTTGCAACTGAACGCTGCATCGCAAGGGCACAGGCTCAAACAGCCTTGTACAGCAATTGACCTTGTCTTTCATGACTGATTCACAGGAGCGCCGGCAGAAATTTTGTCATGCGAATATTGTGCATTGTACATGTGACATGTGCATCAGAGTTTTCGTTTGAACTGATTGCTGTATACCCTTTCGGGCGAGGGTAGTTATACAATATGTCTATCAAACTTATATTATTGTTATTACTGTTTATTGCGAACCATGTTCCATGTGAACCATAATCTGTGTACCTTGCATCACAGCATGTATAGTGGATCTTACTGCAGCCCTTTTGTGAATCAAGAAAAGGTGCGTATGGTAGCGGAGCAAGGATGGGATCCATAGATTTGGGGCCTTTGGAACCCAAGCAGCTGGACTGGTGAAGAATTGTTGTGAGCAACACTCTGTACCCAGTACATTGTGCCAAAGAGACTTTAATTCAAGGAGAAGATGGAGGAGATCAGAGAAATCCTTCAAACTATAGCACAGAGTACGCTGGCAACAACATCAGCAGCTGAGGCAACAAGAAAGCAGTTGAAGACAAGAAGTCATCAGCAACAGATTGGTCAAAATTGATAGCAAAGCCCAACATCTTTGACTGCAAGTCACAAGAAGTGATTAAGGCATTCAGAGAGTGGTCACGGGTCTTGGAGAAGTACTTGAGTGCAGTTGATGACTACATGAAGGGCTTGAAAGAAATTCATGAAAAGCCAAATTGATAGCTTTGACTGGGACTTGACAACTCCAGAGAAAAAGACCAGGCGCATCAAGCTTTATGGATTGTTAGCTTCATTGATGAGAGGAAGGGCACTGCAATTGGTGAAAGCTGTGGAAGACTCCAATGGACATGCTGCCTGGAGGAGTTTGAATAAAGCTTTGAAGCCAACCTCAAAGGCATGAGGTAGCACTTTTGGGAGCAGCCACTACAACCTCAACTCTTGAAGCTTGAAGCAGTGTTTGATGAGACACTCCAGGCCGGGACTACAATTCAGGAAGGGTTGAAATCTGCGACTCTTTGAGATGTGCAGGTGGACAACTCAAATCATACTCGAACTTGACAATTGGCGACAATGTTCAATACGCAACTTTGAGGGAACAAGTGTTGGAGTGGGAGCGCTCTCAGCAGAAGTGGGCTACTTCCATGGTGGCTAGTAGCAGTACAGACTATCAAGGGCCCATGCCAATGGACATTGATCGAGTCCAAGATGCCAAAGGAAAAGGTAAGAAGGGCAAGAATGGCCGTCAGAAAGGCAAAGGTAAAGATGCTAAGAGCAAAGGAAAGAAAGGGAAAGGAGATCAGAAAGGGAAGGAAGGCAGGTGATCACAAGTACCCATACAGTTGGTCTAGTGTCAGTTAGGAGGGTAGCTGAGCAGAGACCAGATCAGTGGTCGCCAATGATCTTTGACTTGGGAGAAAGAGATGATGAGCTAGAAGACCAAGCAATTCGAGTATATAATTCACATCACTTCTACATTGGAGACGATGATGATGAGCCAGAGTTCCAGGAGGTTGAGGAGATTGACATCTCAGATGATGAACCCATGGTGAGGAGACTTGGAGAAGAGAATGAGGATGTCATGGGAAAGGAGAGTTGCAACCCGAAACAATGACCAAGCTACAAGATACGCAAGGAAATCGTCCCCACAGGAGGTGCGAAAAGCGTTGAAATTTCCTTGCGTGACCTTGATGGAAGGGAAGTTCTTCTCAAGAGAATGCGATCCAAGAGAATGCGATCTTCAGTTCAAAGGTGAATCAACCCATACTTTGTTCTGGAAGATTGATGGAGCGTGGTTGGGAATTAACAGCAGAGATTAAATGTTGGAGAATGGTGACTTGGAGGCACCGCTCAACCTACAAAATCGGTCTTTGACAGATGAAGATGAGAGCTGCTTGGAGGCGCAAGTACCTGAAGCTTTGGAAAAAGAGCCAGGTTGGAGATTCAATGAGCATGGGCTGCTAGTTGGAAGCTTATTGGATTCAAGATGTGTGGATCTTACAGTGATTCCAAAAGTGGAAGAGTCAGAGTTGATGAGAACTTGGGTGAAAAGAGGAGGTAGATGGCTATATGGCAGGGGGGTGTATTCACAACAGACACTTCAGGAACCGCAACAACAACAACAACAAATCTTCCGTCGACCAATCTAGTTCTGGTACCTAATCTAGTTCTGGTGCCCAACAACATTTTCCACACTTCCCCCTGACAGCGGCAGCAGCAAAAGCTCCAGCTTGCCCTACACCTCCATGGAGGAAGAGGCCGGACTGGGCGGTATCCGCAGAGTTCTGGGCAAGAGTAAATAATTGACCGCTTTCACCAAGGGCTAACAGAGCCTTGCTTAATTCGAGGGTTTGTTTCCAGTTTTCGGCCACCCTGCTGTTAGCTCCATTCCAGGCAAACGTGCCAATTTTGAAGCTTTTGGAGGGCATTCCTCCCGTTTTGAGTGCGTTTGCCTGGACTTTGCGTCATTCCTGCCAGAGGCGCTCGACATCTGGGACCCCGAGCTCTTCCAGCCACAGCTTACTTGCGCAGGCATACTGACCAGGATGGGCGCACCTATTTTGTCATGGCCACCTATCGGCCAAACCAACGACTTATCCGCACAGTGAAAACCAAGAATGTCGGCAGGTGGATGCCGGTGTTGTCACGACGGTCGACAACGCTCAGGCCCCGCACCACTTTCCATGTGGACTAGTACCGTTCAATTTTTGAGGACTGGTGTTTGCAGTTTGCAGTGGGCGCAACCAGGGAGCAGAGGGCGTCATGCAGTTGCTGGATTCATGCTTGGAAGGGCCACTGCAGCCACGTGTACAGCGTGGAAGAATTTTTGTCTCTTCAGACCTGGGTCGGCGCACCGGCTCCGACGCTGCAAGATGTCATTGGCCGGGCCTCCGATGAAGAGGCTGCGCCTGCCACGCCTGCCAAGAAGCGGCGACGCCGACGAGACAAAAGATTATACCAAGTTTCTCGCAGAACGAAGTTGATGTTTTGCAGTGTGGGACCTTTGCAGGTGATTCGGCTGCGGCCAGAAATGTCTGAAGCGGCTGCTGATCCTCCAGACGATCTCACAAGAGACAAACACAGGCCGTAGTCAGAAATGTCTGAAGCGGCTGCTGATCCTCCAGGCGAGCGAGCAAACCGACCGAAGAGAAGAGACAGAGGGTTGTGGACATGTTGCGTGGCCCCCCTTCACGTATCAGAAATGAAAGAGTTGCTGCAGCTTTGATAGTTGCACTAGGCCGACTGCTCATGTTTGCTTTCAGATGTGCATGTCACGCGGCCTGCTGTTTCAAGAGGGGGGTGAGCGAGCCCATGGGGCCACGCCGGAAGATAGCCCAAGATCTTCAATACGAATACTTCTTGCTGTGTGTATAATACATCTTTACACAGAGTACGTGTTTGTATGTTTTTTGATGTTCGCATGAAATTTGAACATTAATTGCTCTGGCATATATATATATATCTATATAGATATATAAAGAAGCATGTATTGATGGCATCGCGCGATTTGCCACAGGACGCGGGCACGGCTGATGCTCACGGCGATAGATCGCTGCCAGAAGGCACAAGTGCCGCTGCATGGGCTACCGTGAAACTATCGGAGGTCTGTGACCACAGACTGGCGCCGGCCGATGTCAGGCGTTGTCGGATCCTGGCCCTGGCGCCAGAGAGAAACGTATATATAGTGGACACTCAGTGGACACTGCGGACGTTTTCATTGCTGGCAACATTTACATCCCCACGCTGATTGATGCATATGTCGACGGTCTAAGGCCTGTGGCGGCTGTGTTAAGGAGTTGAGGTAAGCTTTTGTTTGGCAAACGGACGAAAAATTGAGTTTTGGGAGGTTGCGCCCGTTAAACCTAGCGCGCTTGCTGATTGTTTTTTTGGCGGTTTCCTTGGGCCGAACCTGATATTTTAGGCGAAAACGCGCAGAAAGTGGAGGACTTTGAGGGTGCTGCCTCCAGATTTGGCTCGTTTGCTTAATTTTGTGATCTTGGACAGGAATGCACCTCCTGGCTCATGGGCGGAGCAGCGGCTGCGTGCTCTGCGGCAGGTGGCGATGTTTGTCGACCAGCTTCGACGTGATGGCTTGAAAGGACAGCCCAAGCACCTCTTGGCAGAGTATGAGATCTTGAACGGGCAGAAGTCTGTCTGCCAGGCACTTCGGCCCAGCTTCCTTCTTCCAGAAGCTCAAACTCCTCAAGCATACAAATGTCGTTGAAACTTCCACGAAGCACAGCCTCCAGTGTCTGCACGCTGCGTTTTTTTTCGTCGGGGTGATAAAACCATGGTTTTAGTCGGGACTACAACCCCCTCTCAATGCCTGAGTATTGTGAAAGCATGATCAAGAAGGAGGAACTTGATGAGCAGTTCTTTGATGATGATGCAGTCATTCCTTCAATCACAATTTTCGGCTATGAACCAGCGCCGCCAGAGGATTTGGGATTCTTTGCGCCAGGATACAAGAAGCTTGAGAACAGAGAACAGAGAAAGAAAGAAGCGCTGCAGGCAAGGTCAGAATGAAGATGAAAGGAGGGATAACGACCTGAACTACAATTGAGCCCGATGGATGTATATAAACAAAGTCTTGATGAATGGAATAGAGTTGACTAAGGATTCTTCTTTGGCAACTCTGAGGGCAGCGTGTTCATTTCTCGGCATTTCAGGCAGTGGCCCTAAGGTGAAGGTCTGCGCCAAGATCCTCAATCACAACAAGAAGATGGACTCATTGAACGCCAAAAGCTTGGTGAGTGAAGCTAGGACAAAGTGTGGCAAAGATGCCAGATGAAGCATGCCGTACGTGAATTGGTGTAAGGAGTGCATTGAGCATCGCGCGCGCCCAGATCGCCGTGAGAGAACAGATGGAGTAAAGAGCGGAAGTTTTCCTGAGGTACGTTTTGCTGACTTTTGCTACACAAGAGCGAGGGACAAAGTCAGCAAGAGCAGTATGTTGGCTAATTGCAATTGACAGCCAGACTGGATTCATTCATAGAGTGCCACTAGGAAGTAAAGGCCAATTTCGCCTTATTGTGCAAGAGTTAATGAATTCTAGTCAATTGTTTGGTGTATTCAGCAATCACCTACAGGAGTGACAATGAACCCACAACAAGACAATTCTTCAAAACGCTGGTCAATGCTCGCCACAGTCTAGGACTCACTACCAGATGGGTTAACTCAAAGCCTGGAGATCATTCATTTCTGTCAGAGAACACAGTTGACAGGGTGAGAAAGCTTGCAGGAAAATCTATCGAAGGTGTGCAGTCAAGACTTGGTACTAAGATTGGATCAGATCATGCACTCTGGACTTGGGCAGCAAGACGTGCCAGTTGGGCGCTTGACAGATTCCAGCCAGCCAAAGGCGCAACTCACTATGAGCCCGTTTATGGCAAGAGCTACAAAGGACTTCCAGCAGAACATGGTGAGCCAGAGAAGAGCAGAAGCACTACCAGCAGCGCAGACAGATATTCCTCGAGAGCGTGTAACAGTGAAGTTCAATAATGAAGATGCAGAAGCAGTCATGGCCAAGGCACTGGAAGGAGGAAGTGATTCAGAGAAAGAAGAACCACTATCCCCAGAGCCATTGGAGATTCCAGCCCCGCTGGAAGCCGCTGTTGAAGCAATGAAAAGAGATGGAGGCGAAAAGAAGCCAAGTGGAGAAGAGACGCCAAGCAAGAAGCAGAAAGTTCTCTTTACAGATGAGAAAAGACTTGGGAAGGTGAAGGCATTTCCCTCTACACCATTGCCAGCAGGACTGCCTAATCCAATTACTCCTATACAATCTTCATTGAGATCACCATCAGCGCCATCAAGAACAAGAGAAGCCGTTGAATTGCTTGAAGAGGAAAGCCCAATGAAGAAGCTCAGGCCAGCAGATGATTCCGAGCAACAAGGCCAAGATCAACGTGGTGAAAGTTGGAGGCGATGACCTTTACCATGTAGATGAGCTCTCCCCAAGAGCAGAAGGAGCTGGAGAAGAAGATTGGGATGATGAAGAAGATGAATCAGACTTGGAAGAAGTAAATGGACCTGAATGCTTGGTGTGATGGAGAACATGAACCTGAATGAGATCCAGAATAATGGATAGATAGAGTAGCTGACGAAGTGGAAGAGAAAAGACTCCAGAAGATGCAAGTGCTAGGGAAACCAGAAGGCAGCGCAAAAGGAATCAGTTACTTGACAACGCGCAATGTGTATGACTGGAGGAAGAAACCACATCAACTTGGAGATGGCATTTCAGTCAAGAGGTGGAAGAGAAGGCCAAGACTAGTTGCAAGAGAATAATTTGCTTTCGCTGAAGGAAAGGGAGATGACACTTTCTCACCAGCGACTTCGCGAAATGTACTGGAGCTTCTACCCAAAATATTATTGCAGAGAATCAGTGAAGAAGAAGCAAGAGAGGCAGAAGGAGCATTTTCACAGGTACTAGGATGTCTTGATGTGAAAGATGCGTTCCTACAAGTTCCACAAGAGAAGCCGTTGAAAGTGAACTTGAGAGGAGAAGAATTCTTGGGCAAAGAGTTGGAGCAAAAGCATGGTTTGACTTTTTCACAGAGTACCTCACAGAGGAACTTGTTCAGTCCTGAGTGTCCATGCCCGGGAAGAAACGCCGAAGAGTATCTTTTTGACCCATCTGGGCGACAGGTTTTTCACAGGAGACTCAAAGTACATCAGCGAAATCTTTCTCCCGAAGGTACAAACTAGAAGTTGACGGACTATGGATCCAGCCAGGTAACTACATCCAGCAGTTGCTGAAAGCCTATGAAGAGCAGATTGGCGAGATCGAGCTTCAGCAGTTGCCATCAGACAGACAACTCAATCCAGATGGAAGACAAGTCAGAAATCTTACAAGAGCAAGAGAAGACTAGCCTTTTGAGAGCATTTTTGGATCAGGTATCTTCCTATGTCAAGAGAGGTATGATGTAGCATTTACAGCGAAGGAATTGGCTTCAATAATGTCAAAACCTACAGCTATGTCGTTTCATCACTTGAAGAAGTTCTCAGGACACTGGAAGAAGACTATGGACTAGTGTTTAGTACTTGAGTTTTCCACAAGCTGGAGAAGGTTATGTCAAGAAAGGAGAAAGCTACTGGTGCCTGGAGACATTCTCAGATTCAGACTGGAGTGGAAGCAAAAAACCACAGAAAGTCAACATCAGGAGGATTCCATGCACTGAGCAGTTGTCCATTGCTCAACAGCAGCAGAACACAGAAGATCATTCGCTTATCTGAACTACACGCGATAGTTCCGCCCGCGTCAGATGGAATCTACATTCGCGCAGTTCTTGAATTTGCTCTTGGGACAAAGGTGTATCGTTACATCTTTACAGGTTCATCAAGTGCACGCCAACTTGCGATGACGAGAGGAGTTGCAAAAGTGAGACACTTGGATGGAAAGTTGATGGGTTCAGAGCAGGAATGGCTTCAAGATGGTACAAGTACCAACAGATAGCAATGTGGCAGGCCTCAACGCAAAGCCGCTTGGAGGACAGAGAATCAGGTACTTGATGAACCTCATTGGGTTTTGGCAAAGTGAAGACCAAACAAGAGTAGGAGAGCATGAGACATCCCATGTGGATGACATGGAAATTCTGGTGTCATGATCATTGCGTTCAAATAATATTGTGTGTTTTCGCAGCAGTGATCTTTGTGATCTTCAGGATCTTCAAACAATTTGACATTGAGACCCTACGCGCAGACTTTGCTCATACAAATCGCTTTTTACGATGAGACTCTAGTCAAGAAAGAGGATTGAGAAGTGATTTGATGAAGCTGAAGAAAGGGTTGGAATTTGGAGAGAAGAAGAAGTTGAAGACAAGTTTGACACACTTCAAGACTATGTCAGGAGAATTCACAGTGGATTGACTCTGAATGGAGGCTGTGTAGAGAGAGAAACACGAGCAATCCTCAACTATACAATCAACGGATGAAACTACTTAGCCAGAAGGAGTTTAGAAGGTGTGCAAGGTACAGAAGGATGGTGTGAAGGGCACAGAGTAACGCTAGAGGCAGCTAATAAAGAAGGAGCAAACCCATCAGAAGGACCACTGAATAGAGCATTCAGAAAAGGAAATAGGGAAGCATCACTGAGATCAGAGTATATAAAGATGCAAGCAATACAGATGTGTGGTAGACTCAATGCCAAAATAGAGGACATGAAAGCGCAGCAGTGGAATCTACTAGGGATGTCAGACCAAGATTCTGCAGATAAATGCGAGCGATGAACAGCTACTTGAAATAGCAGAATATACGAGGGGCAACCCAGATGTTGCTCCATCAGAAGTACGCTTCAGGAACCCAGCTCCTGGAAGACATGAACAAGCAAGAATTGAATAGAAGAACATGGGCTATGGTGGCAGAGTGAGCTCGAAGAAGCATCTCAGAGCTTCACAGTGCCAAGAAGGAGTGCAAACCATTTTCAATGCAAACCATAGTTTGTGTACATTGCATGATTGACATCACAGCATGTATAGTGGACCTTACTTTTTGTGAATCAAGAAAAGGTGCGTGCGTACTTATATATCATATTTATACAGCGTAGGTGGATGACTTGTGAGTTGACCAGCTTTAGCCTTGAGTATTCCCGTTGTGGGTGGCTTTGAGCGTCGACCGACCAACACTTCCAAATGCCCAAAATGTGGTAAACAAATATAAATTATCTCCTCAAGCAGCGCAACAGTTCAGTTCGTGCACCGCATCATGCAAATACTCACTTGATACTCCGTATTTCGATCCAACACCAGCACAAATTGCAATCTATTGCGACCATACCTGTGCAGAGCGTAAGGCGTAAGATATCGTAAGATCATCGAAAAAATCTCTTGATAGGATGGTTTTCCCTGGCAATGCACTATGACACAAATTATATACATTGTTTTGTCAATCTATATAATGTTGAGTCTCGTCAACGCTTTATTTATAACCTCCACATACGGGACCTGGACCGCGAGTTGCCGCGTAGAAACGTACCACTTAACCGCTGGTACCATCGCACCACTCCAGCATCTCAATAACCCTAGAAATGTGCCACCCGACAATGCACAACAATTTTTTTTAAATATCGTTACAGTAATTACCTTTGAACAGGTCTATGATTACTGTTCGAAATCATCAATGTTTAATTCCTTTCACACTTGCACACACTTACAAAGACCTGACAATGCGTCCTGAAAGTTCCAAGTCTCTTCTCCGATAGAACTGCGCATGCCAAGCTACCACCGATTCCAGTTCCCAAAGTCAGCTCGGTGCGAACCACCGGCAATTGTGTTTTTACCCTTACAGGAAGAAACTACTAGTAACAAAGGGCATCGCTACTAGGAGCAAGGACGCTACTAGTAGTTCCTGGCCTTATTACTAGTAGCTCCTGACAGCTCTTTTTCCCATGATGCAACACCGCAACTTTTCCTAGCTCGGAGATGCTGGGAATTTTCTTTGCGAAGTGTCCTGGAATGACTCATAATGCGGCTGTATTCGCTGTTGATATACAAATGTCAGATATACCAATAGTTGCTCCCAGAGGTTGTTGCATCTTAGTACTTTCTTTCTTTTTTTTCTCTCTCTCTCTCTCTCTCTTTGTTTCTCTTTGCCTCTTTGTCAGGGTTTGGGAAAGTCCTCATGGTCCTAGTGAACAAAAAATGTGGTTTTGGGGAAAGGTATGTCCATATATTTCTGGAGGTTCAGTTCAGGATTATTTTTGACCAGTCGACAGGGCCGACAGGGTATCGATTTCTATGTTCATTTCTTTAAGTGAGTGAGGAAATCACATTGCTTTCAGAATGTTGGGTTCAGAAAAAAACACAGAGGTTGAGACAAATGAGAGAAAAGGAAGTGAATCAATGAGATGCAGGTGTAGTTTGCTCTTCAACTTTGCCGCAATATTAACGGCAGAACATGTCTGAAGAATCATTTTGGTTGCAAATTGGGCAGTTGTTGATTGCTGATTGGCTTTAAGGTCATTCATTTGGGGAGTATAGATTACCCACCGAACCCCTCTGGTCGAGGATCGTTTTAAAGAGGCAACTGCATGGTCTGCCAGGACTCGCATACACAAGATGCCTCCATCGTAGAAGACTTGGAGGCTGCTTTTGCTGAGGAAAGCCGACCATGTTCTCCACCGCACGGGTGGTTTGTTGGTCGTAACACCGGAGTTTGCTCACGCACTGGCCTGGTCAGGCAAATACTGCGGTTGCTGATCACGATCAGGTTCTGCAGGGAAGATTTAGAGTTGCAAGATGTTGCCAGAAGCACGCGATATACTGTAAATTGAAGGAGTTGGCACACAAAAACGCACAGGGGTTCTTAATTTGACCGCTTGGTCAGCGTGATGACTTGACAGGTGCGTCGAGTGATGTTTCAACTGCCGAATCCGAATAGCGATGCCCATCTCTCATGGCTTTTGGCTGGCAGACGGACACGTTTGTTGAGCTTTTCAACGGTATGCCGCAAAGGCCGATGGTGGTGAGATCCCACACATCCAAAGTCCGCACGTTGAACGATACAGGGAACGAGGTCAGGACAAAGCAGTGAAACCACTATAATAACGAAAAACAACAACTTCCATGAAGCCGCATTCTGCAGATTGCAAGGCCAAAGCATCAGGCGTGGGTGGTTGTTTGTCGACAACAGGAGTAATGAGTTGGTTCGCACGCAGACGAGCACTCCTTTTGGATTCAGGAGCACTATTTCGCAGTGGCGATGTCCTGAGGCTGACTAAGAGTTTCTGGTATGATAGGATTCAAAATGATCCAAACGCCTTGTCTATGATTGTCTTGCTTAGTCTTGCTTTGTCCGTTCTTTTGACAGTCCCCGTTACAGGAGCTGGAAAAAATGCCGCTCTATGTTCAGAGGGCCTTTCGGGCTTCTCAGCTGCCAAGTAAGGGTGAAGTAAACCTGTAGCCAAAGCATGTGAATGTGAAAGCACTAAATTCAATTTCATCAAGATTAGCTAAGCGATTGCTAAGCGGGAAAATCACTAGCGAGCCAGCGAAGACAAGGTGAAGACCTTTGGCCTTCTTGCACTTCAGTGGCTTTGGCATCAAGAACTGCTTTATACAGAGCAATGCCAAAGCTGGTGGCCAATCAAAACTGACAGCAACCTCTGACGATGTTTCTTGGTTTAGGCAAGGAGCTTGCTTTGGGATCGTCCTGGCGCTGCACATCCTTTTGCACTCAAAGGCCTGTGAGATGTGGGGTGTTGTCAAACGCACAGGAGCACCGGCATTGCTGCAAGCCATGTTTAGATAAATTAAAATGATACCTGTATAATAGATTTGTCCGGAATGATTGCTCAGAGAACGTTCACTATATCGGATATATATCATGATATATCGCTATATCTTGCAAGCTCACATACATCATCGAACAGATCAACAAGAAATGAAGGATGTTCCCTGTTCTTGTGTCAAACCATTGTTTTCTGGTCACTTGACATTGTGTATAAACAATCGCCCGCCCAGGGCTGACAGGAACATTGAACAATCTCGATCATGACAAGGGCAAGATGCAAGACTTTTGGCAATCTTGCTCTGAGCTCTCCCCCTCAAATCCTGCTATTCAAAATCCCTGCAGGTTTTGATTCGGTGTGAACGCCTGTAACCTTGAGTACTCTATTGACCAGTCTTATGTATGTACATGCACATTATATAGTTGAAGACTGACTTGTACATTTACGAAAGCCAGCCTTCGTAGAAGGCGCTAGCGGAGTTGTGTCTGGCGAACGAAGTGAGTAGTTAGGGGGTCTGGGGGGGGTGGCCCGAGAAAGGTATACGTCAACTCGGCACATGCTGGGGGAGGAGGGTGCTTCGAGGGAAGGTTTTTTGAGGTTGTGTTGGAGGTGATTTTTGAGGGGTGGTGATGCAAGAAATGCCAAATGCATCATTTGCATCATCTGAATGGAAAGCTGTAGTTGGCACCTTGCAAGGTATAGAGACCTAGGGTAGCCATAGTGCAGCTACCAGGTATAGTACTTCAAGTTGCCTTTCCGTCAACCGCTTGAGAACCTCTACACGCGCACAGCAATCCACAGCTTTGAAGTCTCATTCGTGCTTTGAACTTGTATAGGTGTGTAAGAGGTATAGCAACATAGCATTTATACGGACCCAGGGTAGCTACAAGTAGCTACAGTTCTGTTCCCGGGTATGGCGCGCATGAGGCTTCAAAGCTGTGGTTTTCAAGCTAAATTCAAGGTGGCCTGAGACCAGGGTTTGCTGCCCTAAAACACTCTGTTCAGGCCACATTGAAAATAAAGGTGTAGTTGGCACCTTGCCAGGTATAGACACCCAGGGTAGCTATGTAGCTGTGGTTTTCAGACTAAATTCAAGGTGGCCTGACCTGAGACCACGGTTTGCTGCCCTAAAACACTCTGTTCAGGCCACCTTGAACATAAAGGTCTTGTAGCTACAATTCTGTTCCCAGGTATGGCGCGCATGAGGCTTCAAAGCTGTGGTTTTCAAGCTAAATTCAAGGTGGCCTGAGACCAGGTTCAGGCCACCTTGAAAATAAAGGTGTAGTTGGCACCTTGCCAGGTATAGAGACCCAGGGTAGCTATGTAGCTGTGGTTTTCAAGCTAAATTCAAGGTGGCCTGAGACCACGGTTTGCTGCCCTAAAACACTCTGTTCAGGCCACCTTGAAAATAAAGGTGTAGTTGGCACCTTGCTAGGTATAGAGACCCAGGGTAGCTATAGTGCAGCTACCAGGTATAGTACTTCAAGTTCCCTTTCCGTCAACCGCTCGATAGCCTCTACACACGCGCAGCAATCCACAGCTTTGAAGTCTCATTCGTGCTTTGAACTTGTGTAGGTGTGTAAGAGGTATAGCAACATAGTATTTATACGGACCCAGGCTAGCTTTAGAAGAGCACTCCGATACTTCACTTACAGCACTCCTTGAAGAGCATGAGTCGCTTGCGCATAGCCACCAGAAACAAAGGATCTTAGTCTTACTGGAAGTGGAATGAAACACCAGGACCTTCAGAATGACCTCTTTGGAGTCTCCAAGTGACCTCATTCGGGACTAAGTGACTAAGTGACCTCATTCTGGGATCTCGGACGGTCACTTTGAAGGTCCTGGTAGACACCAAATGATGTCAATGTGGATAGATTTGGCTACGGCCTAAAACATCGGATTCCATCCAAACCCCCCCCTGTGCAGAGGAAAAATCCGGGCAAAATGACACCGAACCCCTCAATTGCCAGGAAGCGCAGGTTTTTGTTTTGACATGGTTGCCTCTGTGTGGGCAGAACAAGACATGAAGCAGATTTGACACGCGGCCGCAAGCAGCTGCGCGAGCTCATTTGCTTGCTTCGACGCGCAGTTGTCGAGAAAGGGAGCGCTGGCTTTCGTTTTGCAGCTTCTCAGGTTTGCATTATTGCATATAGTCCAGAAAAGGACTTTTTGATCGCGTTGGTAGGAGAACCTGACGCATTTGCTTAGAGTGAATTTGGATACTAGTCACGATACGGCAAGCCACACATTTGGGATGACCTGCTGGTTCCTGTTTGAACACTCAGACTGCCAGGGAAAACCACTCCAGAAAACTACGTTGCTGGAGGCATGGCGTTTCCACTGGATGAAGCACATTCTTGTTGCATTGCGCACAACGTGAGACAGGGCATCTACTACGGTTTGAGCCTGGTGGATATGCTGTGCTTGATGCATCTCTGGATGGTGAGAAACAGATACCCCACAAACTATGTCGTCATGCTGGCATGGACCTCAATTGCCCAGAGTTTTTGTTAGACTTCTCTTGAATGGTGTCCGATGTGGGTGTGCATGCTGCTTTTTCTGAGGTGATGACTTGTTTGTCAGGTTTACTTTGGGGTCTCACTGAAACAGTGCTCATGACCACCATGCATTTGCAGCTGGTGGCTGCCTCAACTGTCACCTTTGCCATCGCTGCGCTTTCATGTGCAGTCTTGACACGTGACGGTTCCTGGTGCCCAAAATCAAGAGACTTGGTATGATTTAAGAGTTGCCTCAAAATCCAGTTGATAAGCCTACAGTCTACATGCAGTGACGAGCAAAGATTTCAGGATAGGAGGGTTTGGTTCTTTTTGTTCGTCCTTTCCCAGAAGCAAGCAGCTCTCTGAAATAGGCACAAATTGTTCGGAACTTGCTGACCTTATAGCCGATGTCAATCGCAAGATGCCCATGGGACATCACAATCGCCGAGGAGTCGTCCCAGTCGCTCTCTCATTTGGATGGACTGTTGGGACTGCAGCTCGGACTTGAAAAAGCTTGGAATGGGTGTCCTCCAGAATTGTTTTATCATGTTTAAGTTGTGGCTTGGCTTGGATTTTGCACGTTTTCAAGAGAGCAGAAGGCTTGGAATGGTTTGGGTCAGGAGAGGAAACCGAGGCTTGTGATGGTGCACACTTCTGCCTTTGTCTACACTGTAGACCTAAATACCCAATCTTTGGACACATTGGGCATATTGTTGGTACGTGAATTTAGGCTGTTCGTTGTTGGGCTTAAGCTTTCATGATTTCAGACTGTCCGAACGGTCAATGAAACCAAAGAGTTCATAATTTTACGAATGATACTTTCTGGAAATGGTTAAATACAGTTTTGACATGTTTTGAACCGGTTTTGATTCGATCTGATGTGGTTAGTTAGATACGGTTCAACATGATTTGATTTGTTTGGACGCGGGTTTGCTCGGCAAAGATCTTGGTTTATATTCATTTGGTTAACTTGTACTTACTTTTGGTTAATGTTGCAAAGATCAGATTTAAAAGCTTTGCAAAAGCAAAAATACACTTCCTTTACATTCTATTTTACCTTTGTATTGCTTTACGGTAAAAACACATTTTATGTATCATTTCCCTCCATCAACTTTCAGCGATGCCGAATACCGGGGTCAGAACTCAATATGATTTCCAAATATTGACAACCTGCCTCTTGGTGAATTGTTATGTCATTTTGTATTTGTTCTTTGCACTAGCTATGTGTTTTACTATAAGTTGTAAAAGTGTAGCGCAACGGCTGCATCTGACGCCAGGAACCTGCCAAACCTGTGGGCACATGGGCTTGAACACAAGACTTTGAGAACAAACACTAATCATAGTTATTTGCATTATACTAATGAAATCCAATCCAAACAAAGCAGTTTTGCGATTCCAGACAACCCAATTCAATACAATCCAATCCAAGCCAACCAAACATAATCCAATCGAGTTAAATCAAACCTATGCACCAGCAAATGTATTATGACATCAAAACTCAAAGCAAACTCGTCATTCCTGAACTGTGCTGCTAAAATCAAAAACGAAAAGCAGATACCTTTGTTCATGGTGCAAAGTCCCAGTCAAATGCAACTCTCAAATTAGATGCCAGTGGATAATTCGGTTTGTTTGTTTGATTTGATTTGGTTTGTTTACAAGACACATGCATCATGTTGCAGTTTTTCTAAGTTCAAGCTAACTTTTGCTAAGTTTTTGATAAGTCTCTACCAAGTTCTATATAGTCTATAAGTCTTCCTCAGTCAAAAGGGTCCTATTAGCATGTCGAAGGCTGTCGGAGGCGCGGCAAGCGGCGCAAAGCGGTGCAGACTTCGCAAGCGGCGCGAGCGGCGCAAGCGGCGCAAAACGGCGCAGACTTGCGTCGCAAACCGTGAAAACGGTGCATAAGCCGCACAAGCGGCGCAAGCGGCGCAAACAGTGAAAACGGTGCAAGCCGCACAAGCGGCGCAAACGGCGCAAGCGGGACAGGCGGCGCAAGCGGCGCAGACGGCGCAAGCGGCGCAAACACATGTGCCAGACACGCTTTCCGCCCACCGTGTGAGCTTTTGCTTCTTTGCCCACTTGCCCAGACTCATGGAAACTTCACCGCCTCGGTTGCTTTCCCACCCAAGCACAGTACTTGCAATATTTGATTCGAAGGGCTTAATAGAGCTTAGTTTGCTTGAGTACCTGATCCACTAGTATCAAAATGTATCGAGCCTTCCTGAAGCAGAACTCATTGAACTAAGGCTTTGGTGGTGGTACTTTCTATGCAGTTGCACGTGGAAAGGATGTGGGAATCCATGATTGCCTGTGGCTTTGTCGCTTTGCTCTTGGCATCTTGATGCAAAGCAGCGGATGCAAAGCACGCAAAAACACCGGAAGAGCAAACACCTTGCACTGCACAGTCGGTTAGACTATACTGTACTCTAGGGCTTTGCGCAGTCGGACGTAAAGATACACGCATAAAATCAAGGCACCAACTTTGTATGGTCCACCATAGCATACCATAGCCGTTGAAAGCCATCCGGATGTGTCTCGTCACCAAAGGGACTTATAATATTTATAATAGCAAAACCTGTCTATTAAAACTGTCGGAACTTAACTACCGCCAAACTCATGATTGCGGAGCAGGACTGCCACAACTCTGTGGTGGAAGCACTAAGAGTGGAGAGGCAGACTGCCCTTACAGTATATTGTAACACATTATTCAATCAATGTTCCCCCACACATCGAGCGCCTGGTTTGTACGTTTCAGCCTCCTTGTGAGCTTAGGGTGGTTAGCCATGCACACAGCAGGAGACCATAGCCCCTAATTCCTTGGCAGTACGAATTGGTGCTCGCCCCTGAGTGATGTCTCACAAGGAGGACCCGCAGCCGAAAGCAACACGACCACGAATCGCAAAGAATGAAAAGGAATTGCAAGATATCCTAAAGAAGCAAGATGAAGTAGGGTCCTGGCAGGTTGCAAAGCTGCTCTATTGAATGACCACCTTTGCCGCAGCACTATCGGCTGCTTGAATAACATATATTTGACTGCACCACGTTTGGCTGTTCGTGGATGCTTTTCCTCCAAAGAGCAATACAGGGTAAGAAAACCTGGAAGCCAAGAACACTGCGACTCCTATTCACTTGAAAATTCATCTAGGAGCAAGGACGCTATTAGGGACTCCTGGCATCGCTACTATCGGTGTCTCGCAGTACTGTAAGTGCGTGTATGAGTCACATGAAGGCCCACGCCCCGTCCATGTAGGATAAGGTTCAAACAAGCAGCATTACTATGCAGTACTAGCATTACATTACATATCAAGCAGGCCTAGAAACACCAAAGCATTTGAGTTGTTTGCATGATTATCGTTGTCGCTTACATCAACATCTTAATTGAAGGGTCCCACGACTTGCGCAACAGAGATTTTAGCGCTCCCCCTGCACCCTTGATACACAGTATCGGGTATCAAGCGCGTGCACAGGATGACTGATAGTTTCGTACTTTCGAAGTCACAAATCAGGTGGGGTCTAAATAAACTGTAGAACAAAATAAAACACTAAATCATATTAAATCATCTTAAATCCATCAACTCTGAGACCTGTTCGGTGGCCACCAGTTAACCACGTTCCCGGCCCGGGACGATCCTGAATAACATGGACACAATTGACTGATATTGACTGTAAGCTTTTCCCTCAATGACGGGTAATCACATGCCAACTAGACTTCCTCATGGGAAAGGAATGGTAGAAATGGTAGAGGCCGTAGACCCGTCAGACCCAAGAAGTTCTGGTTTCCAGGAAACAAAGGAGCGATCGGACCCTACTAGGGGCTCCTGGCCTTACTACTAGGAACAAGAAGCTATTAGGGGCTCCTGGCCGTACTACTAGGAACAATGTTCGCTATTAGAAACAATAAATAAATAGAATTAGAATTAGAAAGACTTGGATTTACAAGACTGACTTGTGCAGGAGTGCAGGAGTGTCCTTTCGACCAATCATAACTTGCGTCAAGGAAGTGCGAACGCCCCAAACAAGTACCAACTTGATACCAACCAAAATGCACCATACCATACGTAACAATTTATCCACGATTTGATACAGATTCAATGACATATCCAATCCGGCATGGCACATTCCTCAATAACAAGGGATATCATTAAAAACAAGATACAACATTCAAAGGGAACATATTGGACACTTAGCGTTGAGGAGAGTCATTGCTTGCCATTGCCAGTCCTTTTCCAGATTCTAAAGTAAAAACATGATGTACTAATGCTTTACACTTTACACATCACAATTCGAATAGCGCTCTGTTTTTGTTACTGTAAGCTGTTCTTTTTTTTTGTTTTGCATACACTTGAGAAAATACCAAACAGCAGCAGCCATACGGTGTCCCATATGCACGTCTTGAATACTAGTGGATCAGGTGAATTCCAAGTGCCAAAGAGTCGTTGGTCATTGATCCTTTTGTTTGCTCTCGTTGAATTACGTTCTTTTTGTGAATTGTACGTAGTTTTAAGATGTTTTTTGTATAGGAATTCAGTGATAAAGTGATACAGTGATACATTACCAGTTACATTGCAATTTTGAAACATGTGTCTTTTCAAATTCTGGCTAACTAAAACAGCATTGCACTGCTGAGTGATGAGCTAGATTGTCACGATTATGTACTTGGATACAATTCAGGTTGAACAGTGATTTTGCTTCCTCCTTGTTTCTATGAGATTTGACTGTATGGATCAGGCAGGTTCCTGCTCTTTATGTAAGATACACAGGTGCTTCATCCAGGACTGTCAATGACCACAAAACGATACCCATTGATCGGTTGTATGCAATTGTATGAAATATGTCCTTGGATGTCAGCAGTGTTCAAACCCTGCAAATCTTTCCAAAAGGATACTTATATAACTACAGCGTCCATCATGACATGTTGCAACTACAGACCCTCAATGCAAGCGTAGTTGGAACAGGATCTGAAGACACCCAAGATAATATACAAGTTGTAGTTTTTAAAAGATAATACCCTAGTTTTGAGAAAGGTTCTTGAAAAGCAAGAATGCGTACACCGTACGTCCTCCAAAGCTCAGTCAATGGCTGGCTAAAAACAAGCTTGATCATATTCTTGATTGTGCAATGTAATATAGTTTTGTCCTGATCACAACCGAGGTTGTGTTGATGTTTGAGGCAAGGCAGACCTTGATTGTTGGCAACCCCGATGATTTCATGCTGACTCTTGTGATTCTCAATGCCAGTATGCTATGCGTGGTGGATTCCTCAGTTGCTCAGAGACTCTGGGATAGAGTGTGAATGTGCAATGTGTGCAATCAAGATTCCAAGGTCTCCATTCCGTTTTTTGTGATCCTCTACGGCTTTTTGTATGTCAATCGTGAGGAGGAGTACGTTGTGGATGCTCCAGCAGACGCTATAGATCAGGCTCCGCCTCCAATTTGACCTTAATAATGGTGGATGTTGTTGCGTCTTAATTGTTGTTTCTTGTTTGAATGGTTATTTTTATTCTCCCCTGCAAAGTCTGGAGAGTTGTACAGCCAAGATGCTCCAGCAAGAGTCTGAAGCAGTTTGTCCAGCACCCAACTTATGGGTGACCTGCCAGGGAGTTTGCCTTGAGGCGTCAAGAGGACTTTTTCGATCTGACTGACTTGAGAATGAATTTGATGGCCCTGTTTGAAAACTTCAGCTGCACGTACAATGACATTGCAAGTCATCAAACTTACCTTCCTCGACAATTTAGCGGACCGTTCTCTTCTTTCGAGATGCGTATCTTCAATATTCACAGCACAAATTATAGTTATTACAGTATCATTTTGCAAGAATGCATCCACAGATATACTACACGCCATGTTTTCCATCAGCATAGTGCATCAGTTTGCAGCTTACCCAGGTCCTTTTTGCACAAACATTACAAGAAGTGCTGAAGCTTCTTTCACCCTGCCGCAATGAAGCGTCTTTTTGGGGCACCAAAGCAGGCCAGCAGATGCTGCTTCGAAGCTTCTGTGATCCATCTCACCTGGACTCGTCCAACAAGCTCCACCAATGTGGGGAATGTAGGGAAAACACGTTGGGTGAACATGTGGACTCTGTGGTGTCAGAATCCATTACAGTAGGTCAGTAGGCCCTCCTTTTTATGCCGGACATGCTCACTGTTCTTCCGTTAGTCACAGGAATTCCCGCAAGATGAATGAATGAGTCAGTTATGTCATGTTAGTCATGTCCATTAGATCCCACAGCATGGGAATGAGAGGGGTTTGACAAAGCATTAGATAATATATATATATACATATCATTACATATCGTTGCCAAAGCCAGCCGATAGGCTAGGCTGGAGTGCTTGAGGGGCGAACGGTGAATATTAGGGGGGCAGGGCCCCGTTGCGAGGTGGTGCCTAAGGGGGTGGCCAAAGTGTAGTCAAAATGCATGTTTATAAGGGACTTGATAATGCGAGTGATGCCACAAAGGCTTAATAGTGCAAAAGAACCAGGGTTCGACAAACAATATTAGTGCATTGCAATGGCATCAGGGAATGGCTCCAGAGTGTTCCAAGGCTCCAGGGTTTGAGGCAAACGGATTTAGTATGGTCTTTAGCTAGTTCGGGAAAGAGAAAGGTCTATTGTCTATAGAACCCAAAGGCGAAAAACAAGAAGATAAATTATACAAGCATAGACCCCACACAGCTTCAAAACGATTCATTTAGACCAATATTAGTCAAAAATCGATTTCTTGGTACGCCCTACTTTCACCCCAAGAGCAAACTGCTTCATCAATGAATTTTTGTCGGCATTGACATCGCTATTTGTTCGGCCACACTCCTCTCCAGTAAGCCGGGCCACAGAGACCAGCCACAGAGTTCAGGGGCGCGGCCAAGACAAGGACAAGAGGAGGACAAGAAGAGGACAAGAGCCCAGAAAGCCGTCCATAGCAAACGAGCGCGCGCGCGCGTGCGCGCGCCCTTTCTTTCTTTCTTTCTTTCTTTCTTTCTGTCTCTCTCTCTCTCTCTCTCTCTCTCTCTCTCGCTCTCGCTCTTTCTCTTTCTCTTTAAGTTTATCTTTCTCTGTCTTTCTCTCTGTAGAGCGCGCCTTTCTGGAGCGTATGTCAGAGCGCGTGCCACAGAGACCAGCCACACAGCCCAGCCACAGAGTTGACAGAGTTCAGGGGCGCGGCCAAGAGGAGGACAAGACCTGGACACAGAGCCCAGCCACAGAACCCAGCCACAGAGTTGACAGAGTTCAGGGGCGCGGCCAAGAGGAGGACAAGAGGACGACAAGGCCTGGACACAGAGCCCGGCGCGGCCAAGAGGAGGACAAGGCCTGGACACAGAGCCCAGCCACAGAGTTGACAGGGGCGCGGCCAAGAGGAGGACAAGGCCTGGACACAGAGCCCAGCCACAGAGTTGACAGAGTTCAGGAGGACAAGGCCTGGACACAGAGCCAGCCACAGAGTTGAGAGCCCAGCCACAGAGTTGACAGAGTCCAGCAGGACAAGGCCTGCGCGGCCAAGAGGAGGACAAGGCCTGGACACAGAGCCCAGCCACACCGCCCAGCCACAGAGTTGACAGAGTTCAAGGGCGCGGCCAAGCCAAGGACAACAGGAGGGCAAGGCCTGGACACAGAGCCCAGCCACAGAGTTGACAGAGTTCAGGAGGACAAGGCCTGGACACAGAGCCCAGCCACAGAGTTGACACAATTCGAGGGGCGGCCAAGAGGAGGACAAGAGGAGGACAAGGCCTGGACACCGAGCCCAGCCACAGAGCCCAGCCACAGATTTGACAGGGCGGCCAAGAGGAGGACAAGAGGAGGACAAGGCCTGGACACCGAGCCCAGCCACAGAGCCCAGCCACAGAGTTGACAGAGTTCTGGGGGGGGACAAGAGGAGGACAAGGCCTGGACACAGAGCCCAGCCACAGAGGCCAGCCACAGAGTTGACAGAGTTCAGGGGCGTGGGCCCAGCCACAGAGTTGACAGAGTTCAGGGGCACGGGCAAGAGGAGGACAAGAGGAGGACAAGGCCCAGCCACAGAGCCCAGCCACAGAGTTGACAGAGTTCAGGGGCGCGGCCAGAGTTGACAGAGTTCAGGGGCGCGGCCAAGAGGAGGACAAGAGGAGGACAAGGCCCAGCCACAGAGTTCAGGGGCGCGGCCAGTGAGTGTGGCCAGCTCTATTCTTTCTACCATAGAACCCCAACAGTAAACTGTTTGGGGAAATACAAGCAAAGCAAGAAAGGGGAGGGGGACTATGCAAGCATCTTTCTGATGTAGGCTCCTGTTGCTGGTCCAGCTCCAAGCCTTCAAGATACTTCGGCGCGTATTGACACCCGCGTGAGGCCCCAAGATGCATCACGGATCATTTCTTGTTGAAAGTCTTAGAGCTGATTGGGCATAACATCACATGATGTGAATTATCGCTGCAATGCTTGACATTAAGCCGTCGCCTCGACAACAAATATTTGCATCAAGTGCATGTGTTGTATGCAAGGTCACAGAGCTTGAGAAAAAGATTGCAAAGTGTGATGAGGAACGCATTTATGTGTTCTTTTTCCTTAGAGGAAGGTCAAGAAACAGATTGTCATCACAGGATCTCCGCCGATATGTGGGCGCAAAGTCGGGTCAGCAGAAACAGCTCGCGCTCCAGTGTTTGAAGAGGCTCGATGGGTCCTGGCATGTCGTGGTATGGCCCTGCACATAAAATGCAATTTACATCAATTTGTTTCTTGTTACTACTAGTAAGGCCCTTTCTCCCAGTAGCGATGCACTTGTTCCTAGTAGTTTTTTGTAAGGTTAAATTTACGGTCAAGGTTTCCGGAACAAAGCGTTTGATGTCTTGGTTGTGGTTCGCATTCTTAGTCGTCGAATTTGCAGCTGCATGTGGGTGTCTACAAGACACGGAGCCCCACCAAACAACGGGATCTTGGGTTTGTCTATTGTTTGTCCTTTTCAAGTGGTCCTTTTGGGGGGACTACCTATTCCAATGCACACCCGTGATCACGGCCATGTAACATGGTTGTATATAACTATAACTATATAATATATATATGATATATACTGTAATTACATATTTCAAGCAGTCCTTGAGTCTTGTTCAGGAAGCGAATGTACGAGCAGCAACGCGACCAGATTCTGGGGACCCAGTTCAACGTGGATTCATTAGCCGGAGCGCAAGAACAGGTACAGCAGCATGTCAATCCACGTTGCTTTGATTTTGTTGTATTTCTTTAAACGCGGGCTTTATATGACCATTTTCATATAACCTGTTGGATTTGTCGGGGCGGATTCGACTGGTCATCGTGGGTGTTTATAATCTTCTTAAACCTATTTTGCAAACGGTTGTTCTTCCAATTCTGATTGAGATTAATGTTTCTCCATGATTACCGTATTGCTTTGCAACACACTTCTACTTCTACATGTTGTAGTGAATTGTTTTGGATGCATTTGCCGGCTTTGCTTGTTTGAGGATTGTGCTTGTATGAATTTTGCTCATGCAGCGCAGTTGTGTGACAGGCTGAGATAAACGTCATGACGGTAGAAGCCATGAAAGCTGGTCACCAAGATTTGCCTGCCCGGCCTGGTTACAGAGATGAGGCCAGTCAACAAGGTATCGAGATGGGCATTGACAATGCATGTCAGGAAAGAAAGATACACTCAAATCGGTGGTGTCATGGACATCGCTCGAAGCTCAGGTCGAAGCACTGCAAGGTTTGGTGTACTTTCCGGCTAGTTTTCTCCAAGCATAAGGAAGTCTAAGGTTTAGAACCACAGAGGCATGTTTCCCAGTAGCTTTCAAGAATATCCCTGAACTATCTGAACTATATACTAGACATATAGAGTGGACATCACATACGTGTAACTCATCGGTCGTGATTACAGCTGTTTGCATACTTCTGGCACATTCATGGAACACTCAGGAGCGCTTGATGGACGATATGGCTGATCTCAATGATGAAATATATGATATTAATGAGGCCTGTTGGATCATGTTTCTAGTGCTTCCTTTGAGATGCAAGTGCGTCCAAACGCTGCGTGACCAGTCAAGCAGGAAGCAGCGAGATGCATTGACGGTAGAGTTTGAACTTGAACTACTGTGAACTTGGCAAACATGTTTTAAGATGTCTTTTGGGATGTGGGCTTATTTGCTTTGCAGGCCATTTCTACCTCGTATGCTGTTCCAGACGGCTTCGATGAGGCCTCTTTTGAAGCTGAGTCAGAGGCCTAGATTGCACCTCTTAGGCGCTTAATGCAGACGCTACCCTTTGGCTAATGTACTTGTTGATACATATTTGGAAAAGACTTGGATATTGTTTTGATTAGGTTCAGTGCTTTAGAAGAGGAGATGAAGATGGAAGCTTTAGCAGGCCACTGGGAAGACAAAGTGTCAGCCCGTTGTCTCTTCGCTTATGGAGTCGCGCTTCTTAAGGAATAAACTCTTCATCGGCAAAGCCTTCGTACTTGCCAGAGGCTACTGAACGGCGAAATGCGCAAGCGCTCGCGCGAAGTAGAATGTGTTTGAGAACTTTCGGGCATTGTTCGGAAACGTTCTCCGGTCACAGCTGACCCTTGGAAATTCAGTGGGGAGTGGTTATAATGTGGTTATCAGTGTTTCCCAATTTAGCGATGCCTAGCAAGGCAGAAGGTCGATGCCAACTACATGGCAATGCTGCCGTGCCTTTTTTACAATGTCCATTTTGCGGGGAGCGGCCACTAAGAAGACCAAGAAACTATAAAAATAGGCTAGGGTAATTATAGGGTAGGTAAGCTGTGTTAGTTAGCTAAAGTAGCTGTGTTAGTGACGGGACGCAGCAGGGCTGCCCGGGTTTTTCAAGGAAGCTCCTCCCACATGAGAGCGGGTGGTTAGGTGAAAGTTTCCTTAAGAATCCTTCCCATGCCGGATTGGACTCCTTAAGGATCCTTAGCAAACCAAACTTTAGACCTTTCTAGCTTGCATTTAGGGAGCGCCTCGGTAGCTGCTTTGACGCAGTTTAATTATTGCAAATAATCCAGACCGGAAACAGTTGTGAAGAAGTGTGACTTTGACTTACAGGTTTCCTGGCTTGACACTTTGGTTCTGGTCTTCAGGCGGAGAAGCCTGCGGAGGAGCCTGCTCCTGTTGCAGAGGCCTTGCTTTGCTAAGTGTTTCCCTACTGTAAAGATGTCAAAGCAAAAAAAATATTTGCAATGCTATCAAATGCTATCCATGCCTTCTTTGCAGGCTTCTCGAACCTAAGCACGGCATGCTAGCGGAGGGAACATGAGCAGTTGCGGGTTGCCGCTCCTAGGGTTGGCAAACATTTGCACCAGCATTTGCACCTTGTTGCTCTTTGGACGAGATGCAATGTCACTTGTTAATGGAAATTTGAAATGGTGCTTCCTTGAAGAAGGAAGTTTGCTGTACAGACAATGAGAGAACAGGCTTCTTTTGGTAGTCATTGCCAAGAAGTGCATCAAAAAGGTCATATCACATCTCAGACTCAGACAAGCCAAAATCTAGAATCCCTTTCGTTCAGGGTGAGCGATTGCATAGCATGAGTTTATCTCACGTTGAATGCCATTGGCTGAGCCGCAAAAGAAAAAACCTTACAATACTTTTAGGAAAAACAGGCATGGTCTCATTGCGGGCAGAAGAAGGTGGAAATCATGCTAGCAATACTCCAAGCAGCTCAAGCAAAGTGTAGTGCAAGCTCGGGGAACATGCATGGAGCTTCGAATGGACTTTTGTTCAGTCGATGGGGTAATGACGCCAATGGGTTTGTCGTGACCTTTTGTCGCAGCCCGTTCGTTGACACGAATATTGCTCCTAAGCTGGAAATAGAAGATATAAAAGTTTGACATGGAAACATGCAACGATGCAGCCATACAATTGGAGCATTGTGAAGCCACATTAATTAATCCCGAAGGGTTGATAGGGTGTGGAGGCATGTCACATGTCTAGGGCTGCAGTCTGGGCCAGCCCTTTTGTAGAATTTGTTCGTGCTTGTTTGTGAGTGAGGAGGCAATGCTGATTTTTGGGAGAGACTACAGGAATGTTGAGACCAATCAATCTAGTCAGTACCGGCAAAATCGATGAACATATTTTGTATGTTTGTTTCTTCTCCGGACTCCGTACTTATAAAAAATTATAACGTAGGAGATGAAGAAGTGTGATTCTGTACTACTCTTTGCCTTATCCAGGTGTCAACATGGGCTGTAGTGCATGTTGTTTTGAACTGTCTCAGGATATTCACAATCACAATGTACTATTTTGCCTCTTCCTGCTGACATGCAGACTCCTGGCACGAAAGCTTCAGTTGTAATTGCTTTGCTTTTAAAGAACCGACATTTCTTTCCGTGGCTGTTATTTAGGAAGTTTTCAACGAAGGCGAGCGAAGCTTTGTTCTCAATCACCTTTGACGCCTTCAAATAAGCGGGCAAAGTGCAATGGCAATGGCTGCAATGAGCCCTGCCCAGCTTCCTATCTTGGTTAGGCTCCAGCTTCCCCACTATTACGTCCAACGCAAAAGACTACGGTATAATAACATTTATGGCACCAAATGCTTGCCCGCTGATATATATATATATACACAGTAGCTTGGGTTGTTAAATCGGCATTGCTATCTATATGATGTGTTGAGCAAACTGCTTAAGGTTGCGAAATTGTGCCATGACGCAATTGGTGGATTTTCAGCTACCTTGGCATGGGGGGCATCGGACAGACGAGTGCAACTTGTATCAAGCAAGGCTTTACCTTGGCTTGGTGTGGTTTTGCACATTGTTCCAGTACCGGTTCCCTTCCCTATGAGAGACATTACATACTGCAATTTGGATCATACAGTAATACATTTCTGTATATACAAAGCAAACAATTCTTTTGTCAGGGATGTGCTTGTACAGCCGATGGAGCTTTTTCCAGCCATTCTGATCCAGTATTCACCTGAGGCAAGTCTTCCACATGTTTTGCCTCCTTTGCGTGGGCTTTTACGCTCCTTGGATGCAAGTGGCGCAAACGAGCAGGGTGTGGAAGACGAAATGCTCAGGCTATACTCTTACCCTGGGTAAGACCAGAGTGGCTGGAGGACAACATTAAAGCAGAGGCAAACAAGGTTGGCAACACCGTCGAGAAGCAGAAGAATATTTTCCAGGTGGGAGCTTGGGAGAAAAGCAATAACGAATGATATGAAATTATATACTGTAATCTATCTCGTGCAACAGCTTCAAGGTACTGCGCTTTCCACTGATGCAAGTAAGAATCTCACAATTTGAAGCAATTAAGTTAATTGAAGCAGAATAAGGAACTCCGATGTCTTCGAACACAGCTCATTTTGCCAGGTTTCTGTTGTTGCGCTCTGCTCAGCATGCAAGTTCATTGTCATTGCACGATGTGAAATCTTTGCAGTGAAGCCGCTAGCTGTGTTTTTGTCAACTGAGCTTTCGAGCTTGTTTTGTGCCGTCTTGACTCTTGACCAAGGTGCTTGCAATTTTGAACTTTATGTGCCTGGCAATGCTAGCACTTGCATCACGTGCAATGAAGAGTGAATCAATCTCGAGGCTTGTTGACGAACAACTGGTCAATGGGAAGTTTCGGGATCATTTCCTCAAAGACCTCCGGAAAAGCTACAGCATCTCAGTGCTGCTGCTACTCTTGGTGGTGCTAATATATGGCATTCTAAGCCGGCTTTCGCAACTTCCTCATCCATCAGCCTTCGTTTTGGGCTGGAGTCCAGCTTTTTTTTCTGCTTGGGCGCTGCTGCAGCTGCTTACCTTCATCCGACTGTTGGCTTCGCTAGCCATGAACAAAGTAGAATGCTTCTACACCGAGCTTGAATCTGTAGGCAATGGCTGTTTGGAAGCTCATAATTTTGCCAAGAGTATGCTTCCTGGACAGTGGTTGCACCTTCTGCGAGAGCACCAAAAATTGCTCCGCCATTTGAAAGCAATGTCCTCAGCGATCTTTGCCACCGTCTTAGTTTTCCAAAACGTGGTTGCAGGCTCGAGTTTGCTGCTCATGTGGGTCGCACGGGCATACCAAAAAGATGCTGTACCATCCACAGGCTATGTGCTCCTGGCCTTCACCCTGATGTGCTCTGGCATTTTTGCTATGCTGCCCCTCGCCTTCATCACTGATTTATGCCAATCTCGTAGACTGGGCAGACGCTCACTGCTGAACCTGGCAGACAAGTACAGCGGCTGGCCTATGTCAGCTGAAGTGCATGCAGAATATATGCGTTTCATGCAACACATCATCATGGCAGAAGCAGGAATCTATCTTCCGAATATGGGTATGGTGACGCGGGCATCCTTGTCAAACCAAATCATGTTCTACGTCAAGGTCCTTCCGCTGGCTTTGGCTCTGACTGTGGGCTGGTGGCGGCGAGGGTGAGCATCTACAAGCATTGCAGCCTTGCATGAACTGCATGGAAGGGTTCTTGAGCAAAATTATCGTATTGTTTGAGACGACAAAACTGCCGTACGTGGAAGTCCGAAAGTTGACTTCGTGCTGTTACTGTAATTACATGATTGTAATACTGAGCAGAGCTCTCCAGTTGCATCAGCGGAGAATTGAAACAAGGAGTTTTTGATACAGTACCCTCCAAGCACCCATTGCACTGTCTCAAGCATCTTACAATGAGTTTGTAGGTATGATTGTGTCAGTTTGAAGCAGGGTATATTAACTGCTGTATTTTTTTGGACTGTAATCAATATAATAGCAAAAAAACAACTGCATGTCCAAGCCTTTTTACAGTAAATGACTTCTCAAACTGCAATTTGCAGAGAGATGCCTGGCGGATTTGGGCTGTTTAAAGTAAAGATACTGTGCTTCAACACATTCAATACCGCGCTGAAGAGTCTAACAGTCCAACACCTGCGGCTTCGTGCAAAGCACACCATCTCAGATCACGACCGGACACTCTAGCTCTTCTTTGTAGCATACGAAGCTGACGACGAATACGTTTTTGGTTTTACTGTAATTTGATGTAATTTGGATCAAATATCGAGTTGCTTTCGCATGACGTGGTTGCTTCTGTTTTTCGGCTCGACAGTAAGAGACTTGCTGATGTGTTTCCTGGGTTGCGACGAATGCTCCGAATGCATTTTACCCAGCCTGGCCTACAGATGATCGTAACGAGTATACCGTAATATGATGTGATATAAGGACGCTACTAGTAGCTCCTGGCCTTACTACTAGGAACAAGAAGCTACTAGGGGCTCCTGGCATCGCTACTAGGAGCAAGGACGCTACTAGTACTCACTCTCCTGCAAGTTGCAAATCGGGTGGAAAGTAGCTGGAGCTGCGGTCTCCATGTGTTGATTGATGTGTATGCTCACACGTCCCCATAGCTCTCGTAAATCACCCACCCAATGCGGTACCTTTTTGATTTGCAGAGTCTTCATAGTCACAGTCATAGTATGTCATAGTCATAATCACCATCGCGCTCTGAAACTAGCAGACTTGATGGGGGCAGTCGCTTTTCCTATCCCATGCGCCCAGGATGAATTCTGAAAGCCGAACAACATTCTGGAGGGCTGAGATAGCAATCATTTCCTATCGCACATTGTATCAGAAGTCCTAACTCTTGGCTTTACATGTACTCTATCCACACATGAGTTAGGACATTTTGCACTGGCCCATTTGCTTGTGGCCTGAGTCTCAACAACTCCTTCTAGTACTAGGGCAGGGAACACATGTGATGCCGCATATGGAACATACAACAGCTTGGGAGATACATTTTTTGGTTCTCATGGGGTCCACTGTTTTTTCAATGTCTCCAAACTTTCTCAACTCATGTTCTCAAATACTGCTGGGATGTTTTTCTGATCTGTGACTTTTTGTCTCATGCATGTGCTCTATGCATGTTTCCCTGTATTCTGATCCTATCCCATGTTTTTCGTTTATTCTTATCTCATTTGAACCTATACAGTAGGCCTATAGGTCCAATATATTATCGCTTGAGGCTTGAAGCTAGAAAGCTGCAGTTCTCGCACATGTCATTCGAGTGAACGGGATGACTTGATTGGTTTACCCCAAGGTCCTACCATCATTGGTTTGTGATCTCGCAGCCAGTCTCAAGCTGGACCTGACATATTGAAGCCGCCGAGTCCATTGTGCTGGAAGCCTAGTGTTCCCTCTGTGTGTCCTGCGCGATGAAGTGGCAATGAGACACAATGCACCAAGGTTATTGTTTGCATAAGATTATTCAGTATATACATGTTTGTCTATTCACAATGGCTTGTGCAAATGAAGCCGGCCTTAGATGATTGCATGTCTTCTCACTTTAAGGTCAGTTGCACAGATGTCGCTGAAACTTGCTACCTTGCTGATTGTTGCTTGGCGCCATTTTGGGGAGCGCGAACAGTGGAAGGCTGCAACAGGGCCAAAGAACTTCAGGGGCTTCTGTACATCATGGAAGCATTGCTTTTGCCGCCATTGTGAGGCTCTTTGCCTGACAGATGCGGCCCGGCTCAAGCACAGAGCACCAAAGCAGGCATCTCGATGTTGCTGTCAATTTGCGCTTTGCCCTTGCCTTTCACTCTGCATACCTTGGCTTTGTTCATACAACCATGGGCCATCAATTGGAAAGTTTCGGACTGTAGTTCGCAAGTCGTCAGATTGTCAGATTGATTTGTCATGGAAGGAGTTGGTTTCAAATCCCCCAAGTAAGCAGGTACTGGCCCTGGATCATGATGGCCAGACCAAGATGCTGCTCCAGGCATGGTACCAGCCTTTGGACTCATATCATATCTGCGAATCTATATAGAATATGAGCAAAATATAGGGGATGGAATTTCTTCTACAGAATCGCGGGGGTTGGGACCCCGATAAGACGATTTTTTTGCCATTTTTTCTTGGCTCATATGGAGGTTGTAAAGTCCTGTCCTTCAAGATCCTCGAATTTATAGAGAATTGTTGTTTTTTACAAGTTTGATTCTATAGAGGCTTATAAGTCTAGCGAAGGGATTCTGGATGTCTTAGGTATATTGATTCTATAGAGACTTATAAATATATATATTAGCATGGTTTTGCATGTTAGGAACTGCAATTCTATAGAGACTGATGT